CCATGGCGAGAGCATAAATGGAGTCTACAAGGGAATTAGGGCAATGCCTGTATCTGTCCTAGTGGAGATGACATACTGGAGCTCGCTATAGGGAGGAAGCGTGCTGGTCATTCAATAGCACATCATAGATTTGATGGCATGCAGAAGATCGAAGAGAAATCAAGTAAGCACAAAGTTGTTCTGTTCAATCGCAATGAAGGTATTTTTGCTGTGCAAACAGGTATATGGGTTGGAGGAAGACGTGGGCATAATCGTTAATCCGTTACTCTACACGTAGAAACTCGCACCGGAGAGTGTACATGCCAAAAGTATCAAAACAGAAGAGTACCTTGTTCACATGCAATGGCAGTAGCTAAGTCGATAACCCTCAGCGCTTACAGTTTGGTTAGTCTTTACTACACGGAACAGGCGATCAGGAACTCTTACTCGTCAAGTTTCAGCCCCCTGCCGGATGAAGCTTATTGGCCTGTAGACAATGGGAAGTTGATTATCCCAATGTTGCACTTAAAGCGCACCAAAGGTCGTCCTAGGACCGAAAGGATTCACAATGAAATGGATCAATCACAACGTGCCCGACGAGGTCCAAAGCGTTGCTCAAAGTGCAGACAACCGGATCATGACAAGAGGCGTTGCCCAGGTCCACCTCTAGAGCAAGATTCGGGGCCAATTCCGAACCAACCTTGAGTACTCTGTTGTTCACTTCCTTGTCATTTTCGTTGTTGAGTGATTGTAATGAAGGGTGTCTGTTGTTTACTTTGGTACAACATGGGGGGTAAAACAACACAATCCCAAACTAAATTAAGACGACATAGATAGTTCATGGAAAACAACACAATCCCAAACCAAATTAAGACGACATAGATAGTTCATGGAAAACAACACAATCCCAAACCAAATTAAGACGACATAGAAGCTTCATGGAAAACAACACAATCCCAAACCAAATTAAGATGACATAGATAGTTCATGGAAAACAACACAATCCCAAACCAAATTAAGACGACATAGATAGTTCATGGAAAACAACACAAGACCAAACTAAATTAGGACGACATAGATAGATCACTGGTTGTCTTCATTTCCCTCCACTTCCCCTTCTCTTCCTCTTCCTCTTCCTCCACGACCTCCTCGACCCCTTCTTCCGCCTTCTCTACCTCCTCCTTCTTCATGAGCCACCCACCGGAGTGTAGACAGGTGGTGGGGGTGGATATGGCTGAGATGAACCAGAAGCATGGTGCAAAGTCGATGATGTATGTTGTTGTTGCGGGGTCTGATACTGAGCAGTTTGTTGCTGATGGTGGAAGTGTGGGGTGCCTTGGGTGAACATGTCATGTTCCTGAGTCGGGGCATAGCTTGACGACCCTCTGGTGCCCTCAGTACTAGTTGCCCACTCACAATGTGGCCATGGTTCAGGAAGTTGAGTTTGTTGAGACGGACGAAGCTCTTCAATGTTTTCTCTCACCCTTCTTCTGCTCCTCCGTGGGGGCTCTTGTGGGGGCACGATCCTCTCATCAGCACGGAATGAAGGTCGGGCCGGTGCAGGCATTGGAGGGTATAATACGACACCCCTCCTTTGCTCTCGGGTGAGATCAACATCGACCCTCTGGTGCCCTCAGTACTAGTTGCCCGCTCAGCATGTGCAATCCCATCCTCTCTTGATAGGCTGCAGTTGATCATGCCAACGGGGCAATCGACATGTCCCTCGATGACTGATGGGAATAAGTGATTCCTACAAAACAAAAAAACACAATATTCTCAGTCAATCAAAGGAAAATAAAAACTTTAAAACTATTGAAATAATTTTAGTGTGTCTACCGGATTATTGTTCCAAATTGAACGGGAGCGATGTTGATCTTGCTCGGTTAAATACCTTTGATCCCTTGGGCCAGGATCGATATACAATCGAGGGTCGTATATCTCAGCACCCATCTATAAAAAAATATGAAATCAAATCATTTTAAATTGTAGCACCCATGTAAAAAAAAATCACAAAAGAATAAAATAAATTTACGTACTCTCAAAGCCTCTTCGTCCATTTTTTGCCGAAAAGCTAGCGAGAGTATCGACAAAACAAAAACTCTAGTAATTCTTTCTGATGCGGAAGATCAGACTTAGCCGCAACCACAGAGCATACTTAGAACGAAATTAGAGTGAAGTAATGGAGGGAGAAAGAAGTATAAAATGGTGGTGTAGTTTGGAATGAGGAGGGGAGTGGTATTTATAGGGGGAAGGGGCGCTGGAAAGTTCCCTCAGCAGCCAATCACCGCTTTCGTCGAAAGCAGTGAATTCACCGCCATTGAGGAGCGCAGTGATGCGCGGATCGCTGACGTGGTGAGGCGTCGGATCGTGGAGAAAAACCACAATCCGCGCCTCACCGCATCGAACGGCAGCGGTGAAGGGCGTGGACGACGCGGATTGATGACGTGGCGGGGCGGGGCTATCACCGCTTTTCTCTATGGCGGTGAAGTGCCCGAGCGACACCACGTCAGCGATCCGCGCCCTCTTCACCGTTTTCCCAATCAACGGTGATAGTGGCTTCACCGTTTCTCATATCAACGGTCTCAGCATCATCGCTTTTAACAAGAGCGGGGATGGCATCACCGTTTTTGTCCAAAACGGTGATAGCATCACTGTTTTGGTTGAAAGCAATGATGCAATCACCGTTTTGGTCACTGTCTTGGTCTACAACAGTGATGTTGAAACTGCTGTATTTTGGGAAATAAGTTTATAAGTACTGTATTTAGGGAATTTCTTTTAATGATTAGAGTATTTTGGGATTTTTTCCTTCAAATCCTAACTCCTCTACTGGGTGAATAACTTTATTAGAAATTGCAGCAAAGGGGAGAACAACTCCACAAACACCCAGGATCGCAAGTCATGATCCTAGGAAAAGAAGCCGGTCGAGAAAGAAAGAGCAAGACAGAGGAAAGACAAAGCTGCCACGCTCAACAACGACAACCTCACAGCCACCACGGGTCCAACTCAAACATCCAAAAAACACGCGGAACAGCCAAGCAGAAAGAAAAATCATCAAACACTTGAAACTTGCAAAGATGCTTGCCGATCATCCAAGAAAGCAGCAACTATCTCTGGTTACCATTCAGGGGGCAAAACTCATGGAACAATGAAAGCCAAACTCTACAGTTGTTCTTGTTGATCTGCCCCTGCGCAAAGCTCCAGTTCAAAAGTGTTCGTCCAATCTTGTGCAGGATGTCTGGCATTTGTTCTTTCCAAATGTCTGGCAATGTCTGGCTTCATCCTGACATGTCTGGCATTTCTTTCAGTCCAAATTTCCCAAGTAAATGCGTGAAGTAGCCGGTTCCTGAACCAATCCATACAAGTTGCTTGAGGGCTGCCAGTCCAGCTTCTACAACAACGTCAATCTCATTTGAATGTGGTCCCATCGCATTTGTAAACTTTTGTAAGAGATACCAAATGTTGCGGCTGTAATCACACCTGCAAAACAAGTGGTTTATGCTTTCCTCTGCATTTTCACATAAAACACACCTACTCAAAATACTCCAGCCTTTCTTCTTCAGATTTTCTTGAGTGAGGAATAAACTATAGCATGATAATTGATAAGTATAGTTAAATTATTAATGAAATGAAGATTCTCATATATTTACAACTTTGTTATATCTAAATTATGATATAGCAAAAGTAAAACTTAGGTAATATTTGTAAAACTACAAATAATTTACACAATAATAGGTCGAAAATGAGACAAATCATCTGGGTGGCTCAAATTTAGTGTCTTTTCATGTCTTAAAAGTAATGAATTTAGAGATATGTCAAAAAGCCCACTTAAGTAATAAATTTAGATTAGAACTTAGAAGTAAATCTTGGACGTAAGCCTATAGAAACTAAATGGTCGTTTGGATTCAGTATTTGGAGTGTTATTTGGGGTCAAATAATATATATGTTTGGCTGACAAAAAATAGGATGTGTTATATGAATGTGGTGTTTTGCCAAATAAGTAAATAACAGGTTTGAGACCAAATAAAACAAAAAGTGTTGTTTGTTATATACTTGGTAGGGGTAAGTGTTTGCCAAATAACAAATTTGAAACTACATATCACATATCAAATAACAAGTTTTATATTATGTGATATTTGTGTGCCAGGCCAAATACCCAATTCAAATGACCCTAAGTGCAGAAAGGGACAAACGGAAAAGAGAAAAATGCATCAATGAAGGGGACAAGAACCCCAAGGATGTTTCCCCATAATAAGCAAATTCAACAACCAATTTCTCATGGTTGTATCTATCCTCTTGAGTTCAATGAAAGAGGTGTCTTTCACAGACTCTTTCACAGAGAAAAGCAAAGATGGATTAATTAATGAACTAATGTAGTTTCATCTTATTTCAGTGTCGCCTACTGTTCCAAAATCTGAAACGTGTATAGATTTCAGTTCTTCTCTTTAGTCTGTTTTTTGCGTCTCGATTTTCCTTCTTTTAGGTTCGACCATCCAATCTTTCCAAACTCCTGAGCATCTCGATTTTGCTTCTCGTTGGCGGTCCCAGTATTAATCAAGTATTAACAACCACGATTTGGTACGGCTTCAGCTCCTTTCATCAACGGCCGGCCGGTTTGATACCGCTCGACCTGCAGAAACAGCACCTGTAGTACTCCGGCCAAGGCCGCTGGACTTTTTGCGTGGATACCACAATTATGAAATGCATCAAGCAGAGTGACTGTAAGAAAAAGAGGCTGCTGTATTGAAATTGAAGCCTCATCATAGCAAACTAAAAAAAGCTTGGTAAGGGTTGGAGGCATATAAATAAGAAAACCACAAAGAAAAAAGGGACGAAAAGAACACTCTTTACAGAACGTATTCCTTATGAAAAAAAGAAAAAGAAGAATACAACCTCATCCATCCATCCATCACTGCAATCTAAGGACCTCTCACATTATTACAAGCGGATGATTACCAACCACCCAGACTCTTAAACCTGGCTCTGGTACTTCCCGCTTCTCCATACCATTTCCCTCTTCTTTCTTAATGTCCATTCGAAGGCCGATATGCTGCATACCCATTCACCCCACAAGCCAAATTCGAATAGTCGGGGCTGAAGTAGGCCGGCGACCCACGATCACCGTCTGAATTCCTCATCCCAGCGAAAGAAAGATCCGTACTCGACATCTGCCACTGGTTAGAGATCAAGCCATCCATCATCAGCCCGTTACTGTAAGGCAACGGACTAGTTGTACCCTGTGGGATGTAGTCCCTTATGGAGTCATACGGCCCCCCTCCAAAAGAACTGTACCCTCTCTGGAACACACCGTCCTGGTAGCTCCTCGCCCTCTCAAACCTGCACGAACTACTGCTGCTGCTGCTGTTGCTGCTGGTGGTCGAGGAACATAAATCACCACCACCAGATGGTCCCAGATCACTAGGGAAAGATGAATGTCTAAACAAGTAGTGGGGTTCGTTATTGCCAAAAGGGTGGAATCCTTCCGCAGTCCTCCCGATAACATGCTCGTCATCTAGCAAGTCGTTGATGATATCGAGATGCGGGAACTCGTCTGTTGAAACACCAACTTGATTCTGGCGACCGGATGTGGAGGTCGGCAACTCTGCAGGGAAGTGATCCCCTCGGGACACCCCGCTGCTGCCATGAGCACGGTTGTACAAGTCGAGGTTCTGAATTCCATTAAGCATGGACGAAGGAGAAGAATCATAGTGCATACCTCTGCTTGAATCCCTCTGAGAACTTTCAATCCACTGATGTCCGTTATGCAACACATCCCTTGATGTCATCATTGCAAATGGAGGGTAACCAGATTGCGCCGAGTTCTGTTGTGTGGGTGTCGTCGACAAATTCCTTACAGAACTTGGTGAGCTGGGATGACTGTAACTGGTTGAAGTTGGGACAGCAGAGTTTCCAACAATGGCATTCCGGTAGGACTGAGGGATATAGCTGTGTGAGGTCAAGGTAGGGTCAGGACCTAAACGGCCGGTTGCACTCGCTGACCGAGAAATTGAAGGACTTGTTTGAGCCATTGAGGATACTACAGGAGTAGCCGGTCTAGGTCCAGGCACCAGAGGAGCACTAGAGGGCCTTGAGACAACAACAGGGACTTGCTGTTGTGTTGACTTTTCGGGCAATTTTGGAGCCGAGGCAGCATTTTGGGTTTCAGGTCTGAGTAATGGACTTGTATTTTTGTTGTGGGTACCGGCTGGTCCTTTCTCAGCTGTCGGTTGTGGTGAAGGTGAAGAAGATATTTTGTTCTTGACTTGTACAGAAGTATCTACCGTAGGAGATATCTTCTTTTCTGATTTAGTTCGAATCACAGGAACTGGACTTTTAGAAGGGGCTGGAGAAGTTTGTATTGATGCTGTCTTCTCTTTAGAGTGCTTTTCCAACTCAACAATATTTGTGGTGCTTGGTTTCTTGGATGGTGATGCAACTTTCTCCTAACAAGCAGAAAAATACATATACTCACTAACATGAAGAGTCGGACAAAACAAACCACATATTGCTCTTAAATCCTGATCATCTTTCCAGACTAATATACCGAAGAAACAGAGACACTTTTTAACGCTTTCAGGCCCTCGCAATTTGTAAAGGACATGAACAGACAGCAAAGGGTTTAGAAAATAGAATGATGTATTTATTTCTGTATTTACTAAAAAGTATGTGACTTTTCCTTTGAAATTTATCAGAAGTGAAAGCATGTTACTGAGCTCTAGAAAAAAGTTGAGTTGAGTGTTCACTAGATAATTCTCAGTAATAAACTAGGTAATGCCATTTTAACTTATTCAATAATGAACATTAGTTGGTTCTGATATTTTATAATATGAGTAAGCGCATAGTTAAATATTACAGGTGAGCAAACTTTTAGCATGTTTGATTTACCTTTACGGTCAACTTATTTTTTAAGTTAAATCTGTTAGATTGAAGTAGCATGTTTGATTTACCTTTACGGTCAACTTATTTTTTAAGTTAAATCTGTTAGCCAACACAAAGACACCTCGGAGTAGACAGTGACAACCAACGTACCTTTTTAACCACATGCTGCTCAGCTCTGGTTGTTGTATCCTGCAAAGTTCGGGCAACCGCCACAGACGCACATTCATCAGACTTGCCATTTGCAGTTGTAGCATTAAGATCTCCTGACTCTGTTGCAGAACCAGAGGGTTGACTATCTGCTTCAGAACCCCAACTCCCATCACATGCTATCTTACCTCGGTGGTTTTTCCCCCTACAAGCCAAAAAGTTTGATACTTCACATTAACGAAAATGTAGCATAACCTCGTCAGGATAAATTTCCAGGGATAAAATCTTCTTCTACCTGCTAGGCAATTTTTCACACTGGTAGCTTGAAAATGAGCTTCCTTTGTAGGGTCCATTTGTAACTACAGAGGGCACCGAATCAGTTGAGCATGTTGACGAACTATCATCCATCGCAGACACACCTCTTTTCTCGGAAGTTCCATTTGCACCTGATGATAATCCACTAACCCCGCTGCTGCTGGCTTCAGCAGGCGGATGAACTTCTGAAGTATCAGTATCCCAATTCACAGGACTCACATCTCTGTCTTCAGAATCAGGCTGGAGGGTTTCATCAAGACCATCGAGTGAATCAGAAACATAACAGACATCATCTGACACATCAGGCTTCTCGTCCATAGGTTGTGCCTCATTGATAAGGGGAACTTGTTTCTCATTGCTAGCATTCTCGTCCATGTGGTTGTCTAATGCTGCTGCAGCTTCCTTCCCTTTCTCCTTCCCCTTGCGATTGTTGCGCTTCTGTTTAGCCTACAATTCAAAACAATATCAATAGTTAAAAGAAAATGGACTAATGTCGTTTAAAAAAAAAAACTCTCCAGATCCTCGAGAAGAGTTTATGTGAAACACAAACAGGAAGGATACTCATTCAACCAAAAAGAGGGCAACCTACCAATAGCAATAGAACGAGGGGGAGGGGAAGGGAACATACAAAGAGATCCAGTTTACACATCTGACAGACATATTTACTGTGACTTAAACATGAGCTGAACTACTTAACATCCATTATGATTGACATTGTTCCAAAAGGCTGCATAAAAGAAATTACTGACAGAAACTAATACATGAAGCAATGCCATTAGTCAGTCCTGTTCAACTGAAAAAGAGCATAGAGCGAGCATAATTTCAATGGGTGCTACAAAAAAGAAGGGGGAAAAAGGAGCATAGCATACTTGTTTTTTCTTAGATTTCTTTTCCTTTTCAGTTGCACCACGCTTAGCCTTTTGTTCGCTCACAAGCATCCATGCTTCTTCTTCTTCACGAATCAACTCTTCTTGCCTCTTCAAAGCAACAGCTTCCTGGTAGGCAACTTCAATCTTATGGCTACATATAAAGGCGAATTCTTCAGCTCACAAAGAAACTTCACACAGAGCATGTCTTTCCCAATGTACAAGTTAGAAACTCAAAAGGCACAGAGATTAGGTGTCAAAAAAAGTGTTGATGCAAATTTTGAACTGGAAACGTACTTGAAGATGTGAGCAAGGACAAATATTTCCACAGTCCTGCGGCCCAATTCTGTAAGTCGCCTTTCATCACGCTCAATAGAATCCTTGTTAAAGTCATCCCCGGAATTCCCATCCTGCAAAGACATCTAAAACTGTTATAATAGATAGCACAAGGTCTTCTTATCGCTACATGTTAATCGTGATTGTACTACAGCACAAATTTTAAGTTTACACATTACACTTAGTGGAGTGGGGAATGCAGTAAAGGCCGCATCCTTTTCACCTAACTGATTATCAGTCCTCACATCAAGATATCACTATCAAACTTCACACTAGAAGAACATCACGACTGGAGTAACTACCTTACTCTCATCTTGCTATCTTACAAAACCACAGATTCACACTGAGACTATAACAGGCATGAATGCACATTTTAAATAACCACTGCATATAATGACATTTGGTCTACGACAAGAATTCGAATGCCTAAAAGATATGTGTGCATGCACAACCTTGTACTCGAATTAATAATCACATGACTTTCTCTCGGAGCTTGGGTTCAAGCATCCCCATTCCAACGAACAAAACAAACATAAACTGACCTTTGTGCGATTCTGAGGGCCCTTCTCATCTTTAGGAGGTAAGGGTTCCATAGCAGCCCTCTCAAGTAATAATAGCACATCATCCACTAAAACAAATGTATCCTTCTCAACACGTACAATAGGAGCTGGGATTTCTTCAGCGTCCAATAACTTGACTCTTCCTTTCTTGTTCTTAGTTTGTCCTTCGAGAGCCTTTAACCCACTATACAAGGAATCCATCACCAAAGTTGATGTAACTTCCTTCTCTATGAAGAAATGCTTTACAACTACTTTAAGAATAACATCCATCTTCTCCCTAGACATGCGGCGCCGAGAATTTTGATCCATTCCCAACCAGAAAGCACAAAAGCTGCAAGGTTAAAATTTTACTGTTATGATCAACTGGACCCTGAAATTGACACTAGGCAGAGCAATCTACACAGGAAACAGATGAAGACATGAGAACAGCACCCTCAAATTAGCAACATTAAATCTTTCGGAGCATGGTTCAACATTGTAGAGAAACTACCAGGACTCTAACATCTGTGTACCTATAGCTATAACTGAACTACTGCCGCATAGGCATAACAACAATAATCAAAGGATAGCTATCCAAGTACCAAACTGCCAGCAACAGCACATGTCACATGGTCAGTGAAACAAATAGCTTTCCATGAGCTAGAGAAAAATTGATACCACAAATTAAGTAGGATAATACCTTGACCACCTATTTTTGTCCTCCAATAATCTACCAAGCTTGCCCCGTCTCTCTTCTACAAAGCGTCGACAGATCTGCTCTACATTTGTCAGATATACTCTGACAAGCTCTCTCCTATATTGACAGTCAAGGCAACGAAAAGGCCTGTCTGTTTTCTCCCTACAGAAAACAAAAATTAGAACATCTGATGGAAAAACAGCAGACACAAACATCATAAAACTGTGCACAAAACTTAACCAAACATGACACAATAAAGCAAAATGTTCACAAAACTAAAATGCACGAATTAGAATTGTACACACCATGCCATCCTTTCAATGATAGCTATTTAAAGGCTGATAGCAAGGCCAGATAAATAGTATTTTTTTTTTTTTTTTTGATAAATGGCCAGATAAATAGTATTAACAGCATGAAACAAATAACCAATCCCTTCTAAAGCTGGACATTCCTAGATTCATGCTCATTGTCCATTTGCTGTACAAACCCATGCATATGACCCTGCCAATATATAATTGCAGTAGGCATTCATTGACGGCAATAAGAAAGATCACATGCCAAACCACATCAGAATGAAAATCAGGAACACAATACACAGCTCACAAAAAGAAAGAAAAGATAAGGAACTTAGATCCAAGAAAGGATGAACTATATCAGAAACCTGATGACTTGGACTTGAGCCTTGATAATGAGAGTGTCAGCAGCATCTAAGAATCCATCCGAAACTTTTGACAGCTCCATAAATTTTTTCCAACCCCAATCATGCTCTTTCTTCCAAAAACGATGCAATGTATCTACAACAGTAGGATTCAATTAATAACATATTCGGCGAACATTTTGATTCCACAACTAAGCCAATACTAGACCAACCAACCAGAGTATTTTGATTTCTTTGGATCTTTGTTCACCACAGCTATAGTAAACTGGGCAAAATGGCTCCAACCTGGTTTAAATAAACCAAACAAAATGTTTAGACTAAGCACAAACAGCAAGGAACCAGAAACATCATCACAGCTGCTTCAAGTGATATGTATGATGTACCTGGAAGAAGCTTGTCATGGTTGGCAACACAGAGAAATAAAGAGAGATGATTGCAGACATCACAGCCTTGGGGATAAATCAAAATGTACCTGTTACTCAAAGAAAGAGTCTTAAATGAGTAAGAGATGTAAATTTTAGAACCAGCGATGAGTGATTGAATAGCATTCTACAGAATGCAAGTGAAGATGAATGGACATATCTTAGAAGAAAACACAGAAAGAGTATCATGAAAAGTTTAAATGATAGGCCTAAGGGTATTGGATAAATTTATTAATTTATATATTGAACAGATTTTAAGGGTCCAACACGATTTTATATGCATAACAAGCAGTGCATTTTTTTATAAATCCAAGGAATAAATATTCATGATTAACAAGCAAAGGGAAAGGAGAAAATATGCAAGATCAAGAACCAGTGTAAAGTATTGGATGAGAAATGTGCAAAGGTTCATACCATTTGTAGCCGCCAACCTCAAAAACATTACTACGGAGTTCTCTCTTGTTGATCTGTGAAAATTTCTCAATCTTCCATGTATATTTTCCATATAATTGTGAGGGTTTCAGCCCTGTGCATTAGTAAAATAATTGTCAAATATTTGAACCTGTATTAAAGAACTGGGATAAGGAGAGGAAACCACATCAGGAGCCCATTGAGGAACCAGATCACCAGCCTTGTGCAGAGCGCACAAAGTTCAGTTGGTCACCAATAAAAGAAAAGCATTTGCTAGGGTAGAAGAGAGATAGACTGGAGGCACACAAACTCGAATCGTAGAACTATGTCATACCACCATCGTCATCATCATCAGTGTCCCAATAAGGGGGTGAAGTTGATGGAGTTCCATTTTCCACCTGCTCGGAAGATCGCCATTCGGCCAAGGCTTCACCTGACTGGCAGCGCTGCCCACTTGAAATCCCATCAGCAGTTCTTCCAGCTCCAGCGTCACCACTCGCAGTCCCAGCCATGTCCCACTTTCTCCCCAGAAACCTTCAACTCCAGTCACTGCATAACGATGCATGAAGCAATGTGAACACAACTATAACATTGAATTTCTATGAGACAAGTGCTAACTGTATAGCATTATGAACCCATGTACCCCATCGCTTTTATACTTAAGTGTGCTAACCCCAGAAGGCGAGTAGGGAAACCATCTTTGGCTACTGTGGTGATTACAAAGAAGAACAGACGTGAAAACAAAAACCCAGTGCCGAATTCAATACCCTCAAGTCCAGCAAACAGAGAAAAAAATTTGGCTTAATTATTCAAATCCCTAAGCATTAAAAATATATCATTTGAGCTTCCTCCCAACTGTTGTCCCCGTCGATTTTCCGACAAACCAAACTGACGTTCTCCAAACTCGCAGCAAACCAAAAATATGCCGATAAGAGTGAGGCTGGACGATGAATTGAATGGATTGACCAAAGAGAAAATTTTATCCCCAGATTAGAAGTAAGACAATCTGTATCGAAAAAAAGCATTGAACTCACGCTAATTAGAATCATTCAAACTCTAGTACTACCAAAACGAAGATCAAATTCAGCCACAAGCTGTAAAAGATACGCCTAAAAAACCCCCCGATCGAAGACCAAACCCTAAAGCCGTGACGACGGCCAAACCGCCAACGTGAGAGAAGAAGCATCGGGCATTTAACAGAAACAACAAACGGAAGGGGGATTAAGCAAACGAATTAAGAAGAATCGAAGAGGTAGGTATCCTCACACAGCAGAAGATCGAATGGGATAAACAAACCTTAGCTTCGTCAAACCGGGTAGAGGGCGAGCTCTGAGATTCTAGAGCGAGAGAGAGAGAGAGAGACGGGAGAGAGGTCCAACAGGGAGCAGCAAAAGAAAAGAGAACGAGACCAAAGGCGAAGCCCAAAAACAGAAAATCTGTCAATAAACATTTTTATGTTTCTTCTTTTTATTTTAATCAATCGAAACGTTTCTTTTTTTTTTTTCTTTTTTATTTACCCTATTATTTATTTTGAATCAAATTAATATCATCAAAAAGGAAAATTTTAACCGGTATGGCTATTGGCTAGTGTTGCTTGCGTAGCTAATTATTACCATTATCCCTGTTATAAAATCGGACTCACAGTTGTAGTGTTCGGTATTTTATATTAAAATCGTATTATAACAACCAACTTTTTACCCACGTTTTGTTTGGTTGTTTTATATACATTATTTTTATTTTTCTAATTGTCTTTAATTTATAAAATAATCCTTTTTTTTTATTCTTTTGTGTTATTTATTTATTCTGTTGTAACAGTCGATATAAAGATGTTTACTATTAGCATATGACTTATGTTTGAAACATGAGGTAAAAAAAACATGATACATAGTTTATTTTGGAATGACTTGTGAAACCTCGTATGAATGACATTGTCATTACCTTTTGTTCTCATTTTTTTATGGATTATGTATGTTATATTTATTATACATTGAATCGTTGATTTGACTCGGTTCGTTTTTTCTATAGTTGCACACTTTTGTATTTTTGCTTGTTTATGAGGAAATTAATTTAATTGTATTAGTTATCTATAGACTTTTTATTTATTTAAAAAAATTCATCGGACCTTAGCTCCAACCATTCACTTGTCAGTTTGTTATTGGTGGACACACTTTTCTTTTTTCTTAATACTTAATGTTCTTAATTATGCTAAATAAATCAAGAATTTAAATATAAAAATAAATATGAATTGACTTATCGAAAACTGACATGTGGATGGTTGGAGCTTCTGCGTCCAACCATGGTTGGAGCTAAGAATTTTCTACTAAAGAATATGCTAAATTAAGGTAAGTCAAATTTCCTGTCAAGTATCAGAATGCAAGTACAATAGACTCTTTGACCCGTTTTGACCCTGACCCCGTGAGAAAAACGGATCACACATACCAGCGGGTCGAGCGCTATAGGATTACTGGGTTGGAAGTGACACGACGCCGTTTTCCTTTGCTTTGCGAATACGCCTCTTTTTTGGTTTTCCTCTTCGCCTAACCCTATATTTGAAATTCATAGTTGAACATTTGAATAATGATATTATATAAGTCTGTGTTAGATAATACTTGATATCTATATCTATCTATCTATATCTATATCGATATCTATCTATATATAATATTATGGCAATTTAAAAGTAAATGTTTGTCACATAAGCACTTGGAGAGCTCACAAGTTGCCTAGATGGACTATTTTTTTACAGAAAAATAGTTATTGATATATTCATGAAGCTATCTCTCTTCATTTAATATTTCATTTTTTTTGTATTATATCAATGTACACATTAATAGATAATGGGTGAATAATGACATATATCACATTTGCTATAACTCTTTTTTAATATTTATTTTCTTTTACCTAATAATTCATTTTGGGTTTTTTTTCCTTTTGCATTATATCAATGTACGCATCAGTAGACTAATGTATTTAGAGTGGCACATATCACATTTTCTTAAACCCAAAAATATCTGATTGAAGTTTACTAAGAAATGTTTTACTCATTTTTACTAAAATTTAAAAATATTTTACATTTTGATGAACAATTTAAACAAATACACATAAATATATTACATCTTAAGTAGAAACTTGACCAAGCAATCATAGTTATTTTTTTAAAAAAAACTTATTCATTCTTATTAAGTGAAAGCATAGGAATCACACTTGAAATAATTTATATCATATCATAAGTTCACATTACTAATATTTGCAATAGATCAGGTTGATTAAACAGAGGTCTTACGTATGCCATATATATGTCATTCTTCATCCATTATCTATTAATGTGTACATTGATATAATACAAAAAAATGAAATATTAAATGAAGAGAGATAGCTTCATGAATATATCAATAACTTTTTTTGTTGTAAAAAAATAGATACATAGATGCTAAGATTTTCAGACTTGGAGTTATTAATTGACGAGGATTATAAATCAAAGTTTTTAAACTTACTTAAGTATGATTGTTGACGAACTTTGACTTTATATCCTAGGATGAGACATGAGATGCCTTGAAAAATGACGCGTATGAAAGTTAGAGAAATATTTGTTAAGGATGTACGTTAAACATTTTTTTATCAACCACTGACCTAGGAATTAATCAAATAAAGGTTAAAATTTTTTCGTTTAATATTTGAATCTCTTGGTAGACAAATCCAAATTCGACAATTGAGGCAATAAATAAATATTAGTTTGTTATTTGAGATATATAAACCAAAAACATTTATAGTTACAAGAGTCTAAACCGATGTATTGGGTTTAAATGAAAATTTTTTAATAAGGATGAGTTCAGTAAGACAATTGTGAGAAATCACTATCTATATGGTATGTGGAAGTGATTCCATACCAAATTTTTGTTGTAACAAAACTTTTTTCATATCGAAGTCTCAAAATAAAAATATTTTAGTTTATAAGATTAAGGAATTTGTATTTACATCGAGTTACCAGAGAAAAAAAACTTTATTTTCATATTCCACCCAATGAGCCGAGTTCAATGGTATCATTAGTGTTGAAAGTACAATAAATGTTTGCCACATAAGCACTTGGAGAGCTCACAAGTTGCCTAGATGGACTATTTTTTTACAAAACATAGTTATTAATATATTCATGAAGCTCTCTCTCTTCATTTAATATTTCATTTTTTTTGTATTATATCAATGTACAAATTAATAGATAATGGATGAATAATGACATATATCACATTTTCTATAACTCTTTTTTAATATTTATTTTCTTTTACCTAATAATTCATTTTTGGTTTTTTTTTTTTTTTTTGCTTTTGCATTATATCAATGTACGCATCAGGTAGACTAATGTATTTAGAGTGGCACATATAAGATTTTCTTAAACCCAAAAATATCTGATTGAAGTTTACTAAGGGGTCGTTTGAAAGTTGCGATTGTTAAATAGATGTATTGTTGAGAATGCATGTATAATATTATACATGTATTGTCGAATTTGATGCATTGTAGAATACAACGTTTGGTATGTGTGATTGTGTATGTCGCATCAGCTAAAAGCTGAGACAAAACAATCTCAACTCAACTATCTCAACAATCACAACTAAAAGTTGAGATATAACAATCACTCAAAATGAGTGATAGTTTCTGTCACATCACAGAAACAATCCATGTATTGTTTCTGCTAAAAAACCAAAAAACGATGCATTATAAACAATACATGGATAATGACAATCGCAACTTCCAAACGACCCCTAAGAAATTGTTTACTCATTTTTACTAAAATTTAAAAATATATTACATTTTGATGAACAATTTAAACAAATACACATAAATATATTACATCTTAAGTAGAAACTTGACCAAGCAATAATAGTTATTTCTTAAAAAAAAACTTATTCATTCTTATTAAGTGAAAGCATAGGAATCACGCTTGAAATAATTTATATTGTATCATAAGTTCACATTGCTAATATTTGCTATAGATCATGTTAATTAAGCAGAGGTCTTACATCATATATATGTCATTCTTCATCCATTATCTATTAATGTGTGCATTGATATAATACAAAAAATGAAATATTAAATGAAGAGAGATAGCTTCATGAATATATCAATAACTTTTTTTTGTAAAAAATAGATAGATAGATGCTAAGATTTTCAGACTTGGAGTTATTAATTGTCGAGGATTATAAATCAAAGTTTTTAAAATTACTAAAGTATAATTGTTGAGGAACTTTGACTTTATATCCTAGGATGAGACATGAGATGCCTTGAAAGTTAGAGAAATATTTGTTAAGGATGTACATCAAACATTTTTTTTTATCAACCACTGACCTAGGAATTCATCAAATAAAGGTTAAATTTTTTTCATTTAATATTTGAATGTCTTGGTAGACAAATCCAAATTCGACAATTGAGGCAATAAATAAACATTAGTTTGTTATTTGAGATATCTAAACCAAAAACCTTTATAGTTACAAGAGTATAAACCGATGTATTGGGTTTAAAT